GAGTTGTTGTTGTGGTCGGCATATTTTCGAGTCGTGTGGCATGTCTGGCATGTTGTTCAACACCCGGCAGCATGCAGGCAGGCAGCAAGCAGCAGGCAGCAGGCGGGCGGGGCAACTCAATCAGACTCTTAGCTGGCCAACAAATCAGCTTAAGACAACACACTCCCCAAAATCCACTCTAGTTTTACCCATTCGGCAAATATTTGAACAGAAATTTGCCAGAAAAGTCATTGAAAGTCATTTGCCAACGGCAGACTATCCATTCCGACCTCCAGCTTCCAGCCACTAGCCTGACCTGTCCGCAACGACATTTGTTACACTTTGTTTGCCTTTCGGCTGCTTTCGTCCTGCCAGGACACGGCCTCGCAATCAAAAAAAAAAATAGTGCCTTCCCCCCGAAAAAAACGAGGCTTCAAAATCACACTAAACGGGCGCCACAAAAAAACGGCAGGTCGGCAGTGCGGCAGGTGGGATAGAGGGGGTGCCTGCCAACGATTCTCAAATCGCATCAAATATCAACCGAGCATACGTTAAATGCCTCAAATTGAGTTAAAGTGCCGACATACATACACTAGCTCCCCCCCCCCACACACCTTTCTCTCTTCTGGCGGAAGGACAAAAGCCTGTGGCTGCTGCAACTTCGAGAGTGTGTGCCGCAAAAAAAAGTGTGCAGGAGCCAAGGCGAAAAGGGGAAACTACAAACTGGCTATAGGGGGGGGATTCAGAAAAAAAAAAGGAATCACTTGCACACGTTGGCCAAAGCGAGGGGTGGTTGAAGGGTTCTCGTTTTTATTTAATTTTAGTTCTTTTTAGTCCTTGAAAGTTTATCGGATATTGGGGATAGCATTATCTTCAAAGATCTTCTTTTGTTTTATGTCTAAATATCTTTAATAATCTTTTAATCTTTTCAATCTTTTTTCTTCAAAATTGTCAAATATTACTAGAAACTCCGTTTTTTTTTAGTTCATTTCCAAACTGGCTAATTTTTAATAAAATATTATTCAATTGAAGTCTTTATTCCAATAGTTTACTTTATTAAAATATAAAAAACAAACCAAAACTATGTGATACCCCGTACTATGTATTATATGCCAAATCTTAACCACAAACTTTAAAGGTCTTCCTCCAAAGGGTTCCAAGTTCTCTATACATTTGGCTTTATAAATTAAATACTTTCCATTCATTAGATCCTTTAAATATCTATTTATTTAATATTTAATTTAAATATTTTACTTAAGAAATAAATCAATAAAATAATCATCTTAAAACTTCAGAAGCCACCCTCGCTCTGCACTTCACTACACGCACATGAGAGCATATTTGGCTTGGCTCCATTTCAGGACGCATGGCCAGGATGCAAGGACCATCACTTGGTTGTCAGCCCCGCCCCCTTGACGCCTACACGCCTACAAGCCTACAAGCCCCCGCCTCTCTGCTTTTTTTCTCTTCGCTCTGGTGGCTTCTTTTTCATTGAATTGACTTTGGCTCTGACTCTGTCCTGGCGGCAATGTCCTGGCCACTGATCCTGCTGGCTGGCTGGCTGCCTGGTTGGCTGGCTGAGTGCCTGCTGTCATCATTGCCTCGTTCATCGACACTTTGCTTTTTAATCAATTTAACAATTTTTTGTAGCGGCCATCGGGCCATGGTCTGCCCGGGTCTGCCCCGGTCCTCGATGTCCTTGTTTCGGGTGGGGATGACAACACCAACAAGGAGGATGACAAGGGGAACGACAGGACAGGACAGGATTGCCAAGGCGCCTGCGGACGCATCCTGGAGGACACTCACTATATGCAAAAGTAATTGCTCAGTCGTTCTGGCCCAGTCGGTTGACTTTCATTCGATTTCAGATGTGCCGGCTTCTTGCCTTGAGTTATCCTTTATCCCTTATCCTTTGGGCCTTTCTGAGCCTCCATCATCCCTCATCCCTCATCCTCCATCCTTCGTCCTTCATTTCTAAACGTCAACAGCTGTCTATGTGCATTTGCTAATTAGTTTGCCCAGCCCAGTCAGGACATGTGTCCTGTGTCTCAATGAAAATTCTTTTCATTTTCATTTTTCTCCTCTCTTCTTCTTCTTTATCCATCTATCTATTTTGTTTTTCCTGTTTTTTTATTGTTTTTTTTTTTTTAGTTGTTTCAGTCGTCCTGTCTAAAAAGGAAATGAACTCATCAGTTTGTTTGTTTGTTTGCCTTATCCTTGGAGCTCCTTTGCCATCCGATGGCTAATGAAGTTGATTTGCCAGTAAACAGAGCCCAGCCATCCACCAAAGGACTCGCCAGCAGCTCTCTCAAATGGAAATTAGTTAATCGGCTATCTAGGCTTCTTTTTATACCCTTGCAGAGGGTATTATAATTTTGGTCAAAAGTGTGCAACGCAGTGAAGGAGACATCTCCGACCCTATAAAGTATATATATTCTTGATCAGGATCACCTCCTGAGTTGATATGAGCATGTCCGTCTGTCCGTCTGTCCGTCTGTCTGTCCGTCTGTCTGTTTCTACGCGAACTAGTCTCTCAGTTTTAAAGCTATCGTCTTGAAACTTTGCACACACCCTTCTTTCCTTTGCACGCAGTATATAAGTCGGAACGGCCCGGATCGGCCGACTATATCCTATAGCTGCCATATAACTGATTGATCGGAAATGGTATAACTTTGGTGTTTTTAGAGTTAGAGAGTTCAAATTTGACATGTGAGGTATTTTTGGCAAAACATTACGTCATGCCAAATTTCATAAGGATCGGCCGACTATATCCTATAGCTGCCATATAACTCAACGATCGGAAATGACCCAACTTTCGTGTTTTTGAAGATAGAAAGCTGGAATTTAGTACAGACTCTATTTTTGGTTAGTTGATCCAACCTACCAAATTTCATTAGGATCGGCCGACTATATCCCATAGCTGCCATATACATAACTGAACGATCGGAAATGGTATTTGGTAGAAATATCAACTTTCGTATTTTTGAAGATAGAAGTTGGGGACTTTTTTTAGATTTTGTATTGTAATAAATTGGATTATATATTCCTATTCCCATAAGGATTGGCCAACTATATCCGATGTTTGCGATATATATCCGGTTTTAACTGCAAGGGTATATAAACTTCGGCTCCGCCCGAAGTTAGCTTTCCTTTCTTGTTTCTTTTATCTAAGCTTTATTTTTTCTTTTTAATTTTTTCATTAAAAGTCATTGGTTATTCATTATAGATGAACACCTAAAAACTAAATGATTTTTCTTAGATAACAAATTAATTTCCTAATTCCTACAATGGATATTAGTTGAGGAACTCTACTGAGCAATAAAGGCCTTTAATCTCCAGCCCTTCTATCTATTTCGATCATTATTCTCTAGAATGTCCATAACAATTTCCCCATGCTAATGAAAATGCTTGCCCCGGCTGTAAGTGTGTGTGTGTGTGTGTGTGTCAGCTGCCACATCTCTAATTGAACCATTTACCTGTTTTCCTGTTCTGGATTCAAAAATAACTTTATCAGCCAGGCCTATGAAGAGGCAGTTTCCTCCAGCACTTCCAGCTGCTTCTGATACTTTCTGGCAGCAAGTCTAGTTTTGTGGCAGCAGAAACCACAACAACAACAACAACTTGCAACTTGCAACTAAACAACAACAGTAAATGCAGTTAAATATTTTCCGCTTAATTTAACAGGAATTTCAATTGACAGACGTGAGCTTTGGAGTTGTTGTTTGTTGTTAGTATTGTTGTTGTTGTTACTAGTATTACTCTTGTTGTTGTTGTTGTTGTTGTTGCAACGCATGATTTATGCACTCACACTTGGCATAGAGGAAGAGATAGCTGAATGCGGTTGCCACCACTGCCCCTACCACCACCACTACCACTGCTGACGTCAATTTCCATTAGACGCTGACCTTGTCAACATGTTGCTGAGCCATGCTGGTGGTGGTGGTGCTGCTGCTGCTTCTGGTAGTGCCGCAGTAGCAACATTCGCTGTGTGTGTGTGTGTTGTGTGTTGCCGCGTTAAGTTGACAATTTACTGACAAATGTGTAAATTGCATTTGATCTTGTTGCTGCAGTTTGCTACTGCGACTGCGTTAATTTATTCACTTGGCATTTCAAGGAGAAGGAGGCAGAGGCGGCGGTTAGATGGGGCCAGCGGTAGGTAGGTAGAGGTAGGCTCCATAAGAGGGTCGCCAACAAAACGCCAACTGGCCATGCGACCTTGATGGCCAGCTTCCGCATTTAACAGTTACCGTTTGGCACGCCATCGAGCTTTCCCATTTAGTCGATTTATGTATATGCGTTTTATGGAGAAAAGTGCTCTTAGGAAATCTCAACAGAGTTGAACTTGAGCTGAGGAGAGTGTGACCAGCTGTCTCTGAAGCCAAACAAGTGCCGACATGATTGATGACAGAGTGACCTTAGCTAAGAGAGGTCTGTTTTTCATCAGAAATTAATCATAAACATAGCTCTGAAGCTCTGAAGATTGCATCTCGTGGGAGCATACAGTTTATACATTAAATAGTGTGCCCAAAGCTCTATTGGAACCTATTAGGTAGAACATCATTTATATTCTTTACATCTTAACATTAGATAATATCAAGATTTTAAATTCGAGGTTTCTACTAATTTTTAAGAAAATAGAATACAAATACTATGGAAGTTGTAGGACCATTGTAATTCATGTTTGAAATAGTGTTACCAAAGCTCTATTTTCCCTATTGTTTCTATCCTTTTCTCTGTAGTTCTTTCTATTGTTCTTTCATATAACTATATTTATCATAATATTATAATATTTATATATGAAATATTTCTACTATATATGTATAATATTTCTAATATACTATATAATATTTCATATAACATCATTTATATTCTTTAAATCCAAACTTGAGCAGTTCTCTAGAGATTTCGCTAAATTTCATTTAAAAATACAACATTTTATATAAAATTAAAAGGTTTTAAAGTGTGACCAATACTTTAATTGATGTGTATCTTAAGAACTATCGAAAAAATCGAACACTTACCTTATGGGCTCGGATGGATGTGCCCTCTGAACAAACTAATGTGACGTCCACCAGGCTCCCGTCTTGTAGTAATTGACTAAACACCCCTAACAGGTTGGATTGGTAATTGTTCCACCTCAAGCAGTAGTGCTCACTGCCCATGTCGGTGACAGCTTACGCTGCTGCAAGTATACATATTAAAATAAAACATATACATTATTAATAATAATATAATAATAATAATAATAATATTAAATAATATTTATTGAGAATGACTTGGTGGTCGTGCGGGCCAGTCGAGAATAATTTCTTAATTCGTCGGCGCGTGTTTTTCCGACTTTGGTTCATTAATTGAAATTGCGTAATCAGACGTATCTGGCTATCGGTATCTCTTGGATGCAATTAATGCCACACTGCCGCCGCGTCGCCACCAAATGCCACCAAAGCCAGTGTTGCGAAATCTGGCCCAGGGTGCACGAGTGTCAAGGGGCACTGGGCAGCCAAGCAATTGGGGGCGTGACTAGGCGTGTCATTGCGTTCTTGGATGATTCGGCACTTTGCATAAAAGTGCCTAAATATTAAATATTAAAATTTTTCAAATAAGAAGTCTTTGGAGTCTATGAATTTCCTGCCTTTCGCTGTCGCTTTAAATTAATTTAATGTCTGAATAATTAATTGGCCAGCCACTAGCCACCAGGAACCACTAGTCCGAGTGGCAATCAACGAAACGATCCTCTGGATGGCCAGCCTCTTCCGCTGGTTGCCCCTTTTTCTTTTTTTGATGGCCAACTGTCTCCCGCGACTGTTGTGCTTTTTTTTTTATTATTCCAACAACAACAAAAAATAAGAAAAAAAGAAAAAGGAAAAAGGAACAAAATAATAACGAAGCAATAAACTGTGAATTTATTTCAACAAATAAAACTTTGATTTATTGCAGTACGCACCGGGCACACAGCATGCAACGGATCTGGCAGCTCGATAACGATTTTATGCCGTGGAGTTAGAATCAGTATCTATATCTGTATCTGTATCTGTATCTGTATCTGTACCTGTGCATGAGTGTATCTGAGCTGGCAAGTATCTGAGAGTTAGCAAGTATCTGAGTGTATCTTACGATCTCTCTAAGCAAGCGAGGCCATTGCGATCGTAAAGCGTGAATTACGCATGCATTTTGTTACCTTCCTGGGTCGTTCTCACTCTGATTTCCCTGCTACAGGCTGTTATAAAAAAAAAACATTAAAAAAAATATAAAAAAAAAAAAACGACTCATCTAAAGCCCAGCTAGAGTTCGAACTCTTTACTTGCAGTTTATTTCTCACTTTTCTTACAACTCTTTACTTGTAATTAACTCTGATTTCCCTGTTTCAGATTATATATATTTTTTTCAATTAAAAATAAAAATATAAAAAAAAAAATTAAAATAGCCTCACCTTGATATTTATTTCTTCTTAATTTGTAGTTTTTTTTTTCAGTAAAAAATATATGAAAATTTCAAAGTTGAACTCAAAAATATAAAAATATCTTCTATGGATAAAGATATTTGGATAGAAAAATATATGATAGGATTAAACTCTTCATTTAAAATTTATTTATTTCCCTGCTATTTTATTTAATTATTATTATGTTTTTTTTCAGTCAAATTTTTAAAATTTTAGGCAGTAAGAGAAGCTTTAGAAAATAATAAGGCTTTACATAAAAAATACTGAAAATAATGTTTTTTGTAGAAATAATTAGTTAGTAATGAGTTAAGAACCTCTCGAAGGTAGGGTTTAAAATCTTAAAATAAATATTAATTTTTACTCCGATTTTCCTATGATTGTCCGTCATTTTTTTTAAAATAAAAATAGAAACCAATTTAAAAACAAAAAGCAATAATAGAAGCAAAGAATAATAATCTTCCATCTGTAGCCTAGATAAAGTTGGTATTCTTCACTTGAAATTGGTTTCCTACTATGCTTTCCAAGCTTTTTTAGGATTTCATTTAAATAAAAAATAATTTTGAAAAAAGACTCTTATTTGTAGCTTAGCTGAGGTTCAAACTTTTCACTTAAAATAAGTTTCTCACTCTAATTTCCCTGCTTGTTCAGATGTTTTTTCTAATATTCCTGTTTTTCAATTATTTTTCAAACAAAAAATATTAAACTCTCCTCCATACCCTAGTTGTATTACGAACTCTTTACTTTTTTATTTATTTCTCGTAAAAATCTCTTGAGAAACCCCCCTTTTTTTAGGCATCTTCTCGGTAACCTTTTGGCAGTTCACACACTTGTAGTGCTTTTGGCCAAAAATGCATGCCGGCCTGGAAATTATGGCCCAAGTGGCAACTGGCACGCAATCTGGCTAAAGGTCGCCAAATAGGCAGCAACATCTCCACCAGCAGCAGCAGCAGCAGAAAAAGCAAGACTGGAGGGGAAGACTTCTCTTTTTTTATGGTTGGATTTTTTTTTGTGGCTTTCTAGGTTTGGGGCTTACGGGCCCCATTTGCATGCAACGGCAGGTCGACACTTAATTAAGAGAAGTTGCCAGTGGCCATGTTGCAGCTACTTCTGGTGGTGCTGCTGATGCTGCGTTGTTGCTGCTTCTGCCCACGCATGATTTTTGAATTAGCGCTGTGTGTAGTAAGAGCAACTAATATAATTGACAGTTGTTGCTGCCGTGTTGTTGTTGATTTGTTGTTGTTGTTGTTGTTGTCGTGGCCTACGTGTTCTGTTGCAAACGTCAATGACTGGCTGCCTGCAATGCATGCTAAGTAGCTGGAGAAAAAAAAGAAGAATGCCCCAAACCTAAGAAACCTAAGAGAGAAAGCCGCCAAGAAGACTGTGTGCAACTGTGTGTTGCATGCAATTTGGGTCTGTTAATTGTTGTTGTTGTTATTGTTGTTGTTGGTGCTTCTGCTGCGATTTATGCCGCTTGCATGCTAATTATGAGGGGTAGCCAAAAGAAAAGGGCAGTCTAGTAGTGGGTTTGGGCCAAGAAAACAACAATTACTGACAACTAAATCAGTCAAATGATGATGGGGGGGCTTAGAGCCACCTATAGAGTCTTTGGCCAAGTTAATGAGCAACCGAGCCAGCCGACCATCCAGCGTAAGACAGGCAGCAGCCGACCTGAAAACCGATCTCCCACAGAGCCAGTTCTGTCCCTGTCTCTGTCTCTGGGTCTGGGTCTGGGTCTGGGTCTGGGTCTGGGCTAGTGCTTTTTTCAATTAAAGACCCCCGCCTGGTAGCTCTCACCAGCGACAGTCTGGGCCAAGGATCTAGTTGCCAATAACTGATAATGGTTTAAAGTTCTTTTCAGATTTGGGCCTTAACCCTTAATGAGACTTGAGACTTGAGCCTTTCTAGTATGGGTATATTGCCACATGTGGCTGCCACGTCTGCCTCATCGGCGTTGTTGGCCCGAAACTCATTAATATTGAAATTTGTTCGTGTGCATGAGTTATTAGCAATTTTCTAATTAAGACTCCCCGACGAGGAGCCAGAGCCAGTACCCCCCTCCCCCTCCTCTCTACATCCATGCATGGCCGCTCACCTGAGGCGCCTACCTGCCCCCCCTTCTCTCTTTTTTTTAAGCCTAAACCATGTCACACCCACTAGAAGGCGGTCGTCTTGCCTTTCATGTTTTTTTTTTTATTTTTTTAATTTTTATGAAAATTTGCATTTGATTTATTTATTTATAAACCTAGGAGGGCTAAGAGGGCGTGGTTCTTGCAACTCTGATGGAGTGCCGGCAGTTAGCTAATGACGTGAGCTTTTATTTCTAGATTTAGATTAGGGAGGCTTCTCAGCTAATTACTTATCATGGAGGCCTAGAAGCCTGGCCACAAGTTCAATGTCTGGTCACACTGGTCATCCCATCATACCATCATACCATCGGACAATGATCAATGATGATCTCGAGAGTCCAGAGCATCCCAACCATCCGGACTGTCCAAAACCCACGCCTCTTATGACAGCCCCACGGCCCACAAATGGTTGCTGTGCCACTTACCGTTCGAACTACACTTGAAAAAATTTATCTATTCTTTAACTATTTGTCCTTGAACTATTTCCCCTTTTTTTGGTGACTTTCTCTCAGTGGCTTGCAACACACAGCTGCAGCGGCAGCGGCAACTGCAACCTTTTGTGGTCCATTCCCGGCAACAGACAACACACTTGACTGATGAAGGCAAGGCTCTCCTCTGGACCGGCCACTTGTTTTTAAATCGGTGGGAAGAAGGGGGCGGGTGGCAAGAAGCTGTGGCATGAGGCATGAGGCAAGAGGCAAGCTATGGTTGAACTGCGTGTGAGTACGCCTACGTGCGATGGCGATGGCGGCACATTTTAAATCAAAAAGAAGGGCGCACGATGCAGTTTCTGTTGGGTTTTGCAGTTATGCCGCACCTTCCACTTCCAGCCACTCTGCCTCACTTCCACTTGCCCCTTGATTATTAATTGCGGTACTGAGGGAAGGGGGAGTGGCCATCTAGAGAGAGAGAGAGAGAGCAGGGGGTAGACAGCAGTCACTCTAGGGGTGTTCGAGCTGCAAAACAGTTGCAATTTCGCTGTTGTTGCACGGCCTTTGAAGATAGCCGCCACCGTTTGCGATTATCATAATGCTGCCTGCGCAGTTTATGTTGCTCATGTTGCAAGTTGTAGTGTTGCTAGTGTTGCTTGTGTGTTGCTCTTGCTCTTGTCGATTTGAATGATGATTATTTTGATAAGTTGCGCAACATGTTGCTGCCGCACACGGATGCCCCGCATTTCTTGTTTCCCTGCCGCGTCTCTATTGCTTTGTCTCCTAATCTTAACAAATGAGTTTCTTTTAAATAGTTTCGGGAGTCATTTTTTGGTGCTTTATATTTATATCACTCTCTATATATATCTATATATCTATTTTTTGTTGTATTCCTCTAAAAAGTATGCTCTTTAATGGTTGAGATATAGCCATTGTTTTGAAGATATAGTGTCTTTTTCTATGTCTATAATTTCTCTTAAGAGAATTTTGGAAACCTTTCTTTTTTGTAAATCTTGCAAAAATTTTACATAAATATGTTTAATATTTGCAAGACTGCTTTTCATAAAGATCAACAAATCAATGTTGTAAAAATCCTTGAAAAATACTAATATAATACAATATATACAATAGTAAGTACAGTATAGAACCCTAGCAGCTAGTATACCGGAAGAGTACAGAGATACAT